GCAGCCAGCGCGGGCCTTCGGGCTGTATAACAACATGAGTGTCCACCCCCAGAACCCCCTGGGGAGCGGGGCCGGCCCAGCGGGGGTCTACCAGAGCCTCGGGGAGCACTGCAGCGCCTATGGTGGGCCCGAGCACCTGGCGGTCCACTGTGGCGGGACCGGCACCAACAGAACTGTCTTCCATGAACAGCCCTATAAGGTCCAGCAGTACGGGAACTGCCTCAACCGGCAGCCTGGTGCCCCCGGCTTGCTGGACCCCGGTGCCAGTGGTGCTGGGATGCAGGCGGCCAAGCTGAGAGGCACCAGCCTGCAGGGGAATGGGAGCCAGCCAGATTTTAGCCTGTCCGCGATGCCCAGTGAGTCAGCGGGCAGCACGGTGAATGGTGTGCCAACCCGATACCCGGTGGGACAGGGGTACTTGGCCCATCCGATGCTCAGCGACAGCGTGCACCACCAGGGGGCAGGCCGCCCCGGGCAGCCGACGCTGGGGCAGGTTAGCGCTACCTCACATACCAATGTCTATCAAGGGCCAGAGAGCAGCCTGCCAGGGCCTCCCAGCCTCGGGGGCCCGCCGCCCAGTGTGGCGGCCGTCAGGGACTACCAGCCGTGCGCAGGCTATGGAGGCGGCAGGCGCCAGGCGGTGCCGAGAGGCAGCCTCGCTCTGCAGCCGGGACAGCACAGTGACGCCAGTCAGACCTGCAGGGTCAACGGCATCAAGATGGAGACACAAGGGCAGCCCCATCAACTCTGCTCCAACATGCAGAGTTACTTTGGTCAGTTCTATGACCAAACCCTTGGCTTCAGTCAGCAAGACCTGAAAACTGGCTCGTTCTGTCTCTCAGAAGCCAGCTGCCTTCTCCAGGGGGCTGGCCCCGAGCACTCGGAGCTACTGTCCCCGGGCGCTAACCAGGTGACCAGCACAGTCGACAGCCTCGACAGCCACGACCTGGAAGGGGTGCAGATTGATTTTGATGCCATCATAGATGACGGGGACCACGCCAGCTTGATGTCAGGAGCCCTGAGCCCCAGTATCATTCAGAACCTTTCCCATAGCTCCTCCCGCCTCACGACGCCGCGAACGTCCGTGCCGTTGCCAGCGCTGTCTGTGAGCACCACCAACATGGCCATCGGGGACATGAGTTCTTTGCTGACCTCCCTCGCGGAAGAAAGCAAATTCCTTGCAGTTATGCAATAGGCGTTGGGGGGAAAAGGACTGCCAACAGCTTCAGGAGTTTAAACGGTTACATTGAGTCAGTTTTTTTGCTGGGGTTTTTTTGGTTTTTTGTTTTTTAGTTCTGTATGTATTTTAGCAATCTCATCTCACATCTTGGGATGTGTTTCAAGTATATTCCTTTTATGGAAAAGGACTCTGAAAAACCCTAAAGTATTCTAGGGAGAAACTGTCTTCCATTTCAGTTTGAATCAGTATTGTTACACTCGAAACAGCCCCCTTTTTAAAAAAAAAACAAAAACAGCAAAAAAAAAAAAACCCTGTAAGTCTGCCCCCTTTATTAGTAAACCGGTATAAATGTGTGATGTGCATGTTCTTCTTTCTTTTCGAAGAGAGGTCAGACAAAAGGGTGTGACATGTTCCTCTGTTACTCACAGGAAACAGGAGTGGGTAAGCCTTTGACCAAAGGCTTGATGCCACCTTTTAAACTTTTTCCATATGCCCAGTGTTTGTTTTGTTTCTTGTTTTTTTGTTTTCTAAATTCCCACATTGGGCACCAGAATGGATAGTGAGTTTAAGAATCTTTTGTGGGTGAATTGTCGCATAGATCACAGATTTTTTGACATGCCCCCCCCACCCCTAATTCAGTTCAGGGCACACTTTCGACAGTTGCCACAAGTGGAAATGTGGGGCTCTGGAGCGTCAGTCATTTGCTCACAGTTTGGGTTTAACATTCTTCCTGTCCATCGTGTGCTTTGGGGGGCAGGTCTGTACGGTCAGTTCTCAGTTATCCACGTTGCCTCTTCCTCTGAGCGCTCAGTGCCTGCAGCATCCCAGGGGGAGCAGGAGAGCCCGGGGATGGCACGCAGACACGCTGCTGCTTTCTTCTGTTCTGGTGAGAGGCTAGGTGGGTTGTAGTTGAAGCTGTTGCGTAGAATTAATTAGTTTGGGGAATATTTGTAGGTTTGCCGTATTTGTTGATTAGTTCCATCTCTTTACCATTATCCTAGATAACTGAGAATTGATTATGTGTAGTGCTAAGTACAATCCCACAGCTGGCTGTCGCTAACATAGGGAAGGACTGCTTCTATTCTAAGCACCCTCTTTTCAGGGATTTATAAAATTTAGTTGTAACAGGAAAAGCTCACGTACAAGGATAATTGGAATAAATTCCTTCGACCATTTTTGGTATTTGAGAGACTAGGTGGGATGTGTAGTAGCTGTATGGATGCCTTTTTATACCCGGTCTGTTGAGTGCTGCGTCCATTTAAGAAATTAAATGTTCTATGCAGTTAGTCCTTCCTGTGGGCCCAGTCTGTCCTTTTGTTTTGGATTAAACGATTAGAAGAGTGTAGCTACTTCCCATGTGCCGTGGGTACACATAAAGAACATACTGTGTGTGCACAGGGTACATGGATGATCCAGCATTTTACTTTTAAAAATATGTCAACTATTAAAATTTGAACAACAAATTCAAGTACAGACTATCTGCTGTATTCTTCCCATCAATCCTGGAGTTGGACTTATCCAAAGTGACCCATGGTTCCTTTGTGTGGCTTTTCCCCTTTATTCCTGCCATTTAAATTAGCTTCGGAAAGGCAACATCAGATACAGTCATATATTAGATAACAGAAAGAATGTGAGGACCAGCCCATTTTTCTCATGTTTACGTTCTCTGGTTTGGACCAAGAACCTCGGCGTAGAGGTGAATGAGACAACTGGGTTTGCCTTCACCTGGCTGTCCCCGAGCTCAGCAGAGGGAAGCCGGGATTTCTCCCCCACATCCCACCATCCTCCCACGTGCAGCTCCTTCTTTCAAATCAAAGGATGCATCCGCGTTGGAACAGAGCCCAGAAGCAAAAAACGGCTACTAGTCTGAGCTCACTACAGTCGAGTCTCCCCCTTTTCAACGGGAAAAGCGAGGCCTTCTCTGCCTTCTTCGGATAGGTCCTCCTGATCTGTTCACAAATCAGTGATCCATTCCCAGCGTCTCCTTTCTCCAGGAACCTCAAAACCCCCAGGTCCTGGCCTTATCTTCCATGCCCTTGTGGTGGGGCCCGATCTCTGTTCTCCTCTGCCTGAGTTCTTTCCTCAGGAGTTCCTGGAGGGGACCCAGTTCCTCAGTCCCCCTAACTTCCCTGTCATCTTGGCCCCACGAGGAAGGACGGGCAGCGATTGGGATACACAGAGCCGTCACCTTGTGCCTCTGCTTTTTCTTCTGGCTCCCGGGGATTCTCCGGGTTGCCCGGCTCCTTTACTTTTTCTTTGCAAACGTGTTTTCCTTGCTCCTGCCTTTCGAGGTGCAGGAGACTCGCTCCAGGGCAGCAGGCGGCTCCTCTCCATCCTGAAATCTCAGAGCGATGGATCTGTTGTGACCGTCAGTGGCAGGAAGGTCTCCTGGGGCCATCGAGAAGTGTCCTGTCGGGATGTGCATCTCCGTAGACTTGGCACCTCCTGTGGTGGGAGGCACCCCCAAGCCTCCAGCCTTCTCTCCGCTGTGTCACTGTTGTCACATCCTCCTTGATGCTGCAGGCTCCTGCATGGCATTCCTGTCTCACATCTTTGTTAAACGTGTTTCTACATGTCAAACCATCTTTGTTTCATTTTCTAAAGAAAGAATTAGAGACTAGTTCGATGTGCCCCTGCTCCTCACACGTGGGCTCCGCCTCCCGAGCCACGGAGTTTTGATTCTTGCGATGTATGTGCCTTATTTTGTGTTAATCGTGTCGATGCAAGGGACCATTTGGTGTTGCCCAATCAGAATGCAAGGCTGCATGCGCCCCAGCCGGCGGAGAGAGAGCACACGACTGTTAGCGGAGTCTGAGCTGTCTTGTAACCTGGTTTCCCGTGTTGTTTTGAACCGATAGGAGGATGTTCTCTTCGGACAAGTTGCTGTTGTGTATCCTGCAAACGTGTAAGATAAAGTACAAGTTCATTTTTTCACCTTTTTTAGATTTTTAAAAAATAAAATGTGTAATCCTTTTTTAAAAGAAAGACGTGTAAATACATTTAAGTATTGTAGGCATAGTGTCCGGACGTGGCCGGCCCCGGGCCTCCCTGGCATCGGCCTGCCTCCAGAGCGATGCCCTGCGCCCACCTCCAGCCCCGAGGGCAGCCGCCACAGATGGACTCGACTTTTGCTTTCAGAACCACTTAGTCCTTTTGTAACAAAGAGAAAGAACAATGTTTCTTACAATGTCAATAAAAAAACTCTTTGTACTGAAAATTTGAGTGTGTTGCTTATTTAATTCGTAGATGAATGGAAAGCATGCTTTCCTTGGAAAGATCCAGAGCCTGTGTTTGGAACAGACCCCCACACCCAGCAAACCAGGTGCCCTGGTGCTCAGAGACCCAGATCCCTCATCGCTAAGGTGGAGGAGATGCTGACATTCCTGCTAGCGGGAGGGTGGGTGTGTGCCTGGACGCACCCCTGGTAACCAGGATCATTTTTTCTTAATGTTATGCTTTGCCAAATTCTATGCGGAAGGACCTAAATAGGATTCAGAGGCCAACAGCTTAACTTGTCCCTTTTTATACATTATCCTCTCATTTCAAAGGGTCTACTGTAGGACACACACCAACAGAAAATCTGACACGGTATAAGGCCACTTTTATGTGGCTTTTAATAATTGACTGCAGATGAAGGTAACCAACTTTGCCTCATTTGCCTTTTATTTTATTTTCAATATTCTCCAGATTTCTGTAACAGACTCCAAGCAGGTCCCCTTCCTCTGTCTGAATAGCAGCAGGTGACCTTGGAGCCAGCAACCAAGGGCACTGGTGGTATCTCAAGGCTGCAACGATGGGCGGGGCCTCATGCACTCACCTGCACAGATGACCCGCATGGCCCAGGGAACTGGTGTGGGATGCAAGTCCCTGTCCTCTCCCTGCCATAGGGATGCTTCACGTTTTAATCGCAAGGGAGAACTTTCTCCCATAAACCCCAGATTCTTTGCTTTATTAATTAGATCCCTCACATAAGGTGTCCAAATGAATTCAGAAAGAAAAAAAAAATAGGAATTTGTGCCCAGCCTTAAATATCAATATTCAGTTTAGGAAGATGGCATGCCATGCAGCAAGTCAAAATAAGTAAGAAATGAGACTAATAGAAAGGAAAATGGGGAATGGGGTACATGACACAGCCTCCTGTACGTCTGGGAGCAGGCACACAGGTACAAGTCCGCTTTGCTTATAAGATGCCTCCTGTGAAGGACATGAAGGAGGCAGAGTCTGAGGCAAAGTGGTGCAGCTGCAATGCAAATGGTATCTCATAGGGATGTATGTTGGCCTGGCTGATTTGGCTCAATGGTTGAGCAGTGACCCAGGAACCAAGAGGTCACTGGTTCGATTCCCAGTCAGGGCACATGCCCCAATTTCGGACTCTATCCCCAGTAGGGGGCATGCAGGAAGCAGCTGATAGATGATGTTTCCCTCTCATCGGTGTTTCTATGTCTCTATACCTCTCCCTTCCTCTCTCTCTGAAAGCAATAAAGACATATTCTAAAAAAAATAAAGATGTATTGTAAGTAATTTTTGTAATTCAGAGATACTATTATCTATTGCCCAAATGAGAAATAGAAGAATAGAGGGGGAAATTTAACCCACTGCCAAATTGCCATACTTATCCCTTTTTCTGCCAGGGTCTTCTCTTTATTTTCATGGTGGTGTTTCCCCTTTGGTTTTACTTTATATTGTATTAACTATTCAAAATACAATCTAGGGTTGACCCCATTAATTATCTAATAGGAAAGAGGAGAGGACAGGAGGCAGCTAATATTAAGGAAAATGGAGCAAACATTGGAACAAACCGGATTGTGGGACAGATCACCTGACCCCCTGGTGATCATGAGGGAGGGAGGTGAGCATGAGAGCAGGTTTAGCCAGATGTGTGGTGTGGATACAGGAGGTCAGAAGCTGAGGGGATCCAAAGGTGACCCCAACCTCTGTCGAGGCAGTGGGCCTGGCCTGTGTCAGGAAGGCCAGTGAATTGAACAAGCGAAGAGTGAGGAAAGGAGAGGGTGATGGGGTGGGACAGCATGGAGCATGGAGTAAGTACTCATTGCTATTTCACTAGGGCCGTGGTCGGCAAACTGCG